AAGCCCTTCGCGTGCGCGCAGTGCGGGAAAGCCTTCACCCGGAACTTCAACCTGGCGCTGCACCGGCGGAGCCACACGGGCGAGCGGCCCTACGCCTGCCACGCCTGCGGCAAGGCCTTCACGCAGCCGTCGTCGCTGCGCAGCCACGCCCGGACGCACAGCGGCGAGAAGCCCTTTGCGTGCGCGCAGTGCGGCCGCGCCTTCCGCGAGCACTCGTCGCTCAAGACGCACCTGCGCACGCACACGCGGGAGAAGCCGTATGCGTGCACGCAGTGCGGGAAGCCCTTCCGCACCAGCACACACCTGAACGTGCACAAGCGCACGCACTCCGGCGAGAAGCTGTACGCCTGCGCCACGTGCGGCCAGGTGTTGAGCCGCCTGTCCACGCTCAAGAGCCACATGAGGACGCACACCGGCGAGCGGCCCTACGCGTGCGCGCAGTGCGGCCGCGCCTTCCGCGAGCCCTCGTCCCTCAGGAAGCACGCCAGGACGCACAGCGGCGCCAAGCCCTACGCCTGCCAGCAGTGCGGCCGCGCCTTCGGCCAGTCCTCGCACCTGCTGGTGCACGCCAGGACTCACGCGCCGGGCCGGCCCTACGCGTGCGGCCAGTGCGACAAGGCCTTCCGCCACAGCTCCTCGCTGGCCGCGCACCGCCGAGTGCACAGAGGCGGCCTCGCCACGGAACCTCCCCGCTGCGGAACCAAGAACTGCGGGGCCACCGTTCTCCTGAGGCCGGGGCCGGCCGTGCAGCCCAGGCTGGCCTCAACTCGTGATCCTCCTGCCTCCTCCTGAGACAACGGATTGTAGGTGTGCCGGGACCGCGTCCCAGCCAGTGTTTGTTGTCACACTCGTGTACCTGCAGCTCCTGTTCCCGTGTGCACTCGCCCCTCTGTAGCCGCTGGTTCTGCCTTCCTGTTTTCAACCAGCTGAATATTAAAAATACTTAAAAAAGTTGCATCTGTACTGAATGTGCACAGACTTTTTTGTCTTAGTCTCTAAACAACATAGCAAAGTGATGATTCACGTCGTATTAGGTAAGTGTAAGTCATCCAGAGATGAAAGTACCCTGGAGGATGTGTGCAGGTTTTGTGTAAACCCTAAACCATTTTATGTAGGGGAACTGGGCATCGGTGGAGTTTGGTGTTCACAGGGGCCTTGGAACTAAACCCTCCTGGACACTGAGGGATGACTGTATATTTTCATTTCCCTTTAATTCTCTTCCCCCCACCACCCACCTTGAGCCACTCCACCAGCCCTTTTTTTGTGTTGGGTTTTTTGGAGATAGGGTCTTGCAAACTTATTTGCTGGGGTTAGCTTCCAACTGTGGGCCTCTTGAGTAGCCAGGATTACAGGCGTGAGCCACCTTGGCACCCAGCTCTACTATTATCTTAATTGTCCATTATCATTTATTCTTTGACCTACAGGTTATTTGTAATTAAGAATTTAAAATACCGCTGCATGGATATATTTTCATAGAGACGTTGTGACTTATACTGAAGTGCATAAACCTGTGCATGGTTGGATGAGTTTGGCAGGTACTCAGTCTCCCAGACCTAGAATGTCTTTATCTCTGGAGAGCTTCCTCATGTTCTGTGACAGTTTTTTGGATCCCTTTTTTGTTGATGGTTTCTCAGTTCCACAGGGAGCCGGGTGTGGTCTTTATGTTATGGAATCTTAGATACTTGTTGACGTGCCTGTGGGTTTTATGTGGCACAGTCTACTAGGAGCCAACTAAAAATTCCCCTTCCTTCATAAAAGGAATGTAGTTTTTGCTCACCTTGGTAACATGCACCGCCCTCCCAGCCCTTCTTTCAGGCCATTTCCCAGTCCTGGCCAGTGTAAGTAGGAGACAAATTGAGTATGTGTGTTGGCCCCCTTTCTATCGCTGTGACAAAATACTTGAGGAAATCACCTTAAAAGGAAGAAGGATTTTTGCTTCATGGTTTCAGTCTGTGGTCATTTGTCCCTATGGCCTTTGGGCCTATGGTGAGGCAGTACCTCATGGTGGAAACAAGTGATGGAGGAAACTGCTCAGTTTGTGGCCCTGAGGAAGTAGAGATAAAGGAAGGGGTGAGGTCTCAATATCCCCTTAAGGGCACCCCCCCAATGATCCTATTTCCTCCCTCTTAAAGGTCACACCACCTCCCAATAGCACTGTCAGCTTTTTCAACATACTAGGGGGAATAAAATCCAAACCCAGACAGTAGGACTCTTGAGAAAGCTACTCCACAGGAATGGTTGAATTTAACCAGATCTCCTTTTGTATAAACAGACACCATCCGCAGTTAGAGGAGATAACCTGTGACCACAGGGTAAAAGCCACAGGCTAAGGAGAGTGGCTGGAAACCACAACCAAACCAGCTTCCCTTTAAAAAATTTTTTTCCCTTTATCTAGTGTTTTATATCTTTCTCATTTTTATTCATTTATTCATATGTGCATACATTGCCAAACCAGTTTCCTAATCTAAAAAATATTTAGAATACATTTGTAGAATTGGTATCTCTGTGGAAACACACCAACCCTGGATGATGTATTTCTGGATGTTTCATTATAGGAAAAAAAATGCACTTCTTACTGGTCTAAGAGATTGTGAGGAATACATTGTGATGGAGAATAGGATTGGGTTTACTTCAGCTGGATCAAACCCTAACTGATGTGCTCAGCATTATGTTAATTTCTGTAGTCTTCATGGGTGGTTGAAATCCATGTGTTCTGTTCTACATGAGCCCACAAGAGCTAGTATTTTGTGTTGAAAATCCATCTTCACATCTCATTTTTCATTTGCCAAGAGAGGCATATTAAAGTCTAATCCCCCCTCCCCCACACCACCACTGTGGATTGTTCACTAATCCTCGTAACTCTGTTAGTTTTTAAAGTTCTGCCTCTATTTTGAAGTGATGGAATTAAGTGAAAAGATTTTTGACATTTTATGCACTTCCTGCAAATTTTTACTTTTTTTCTTATAAAGCGACCATGTTTTCCCCAGGGATGAAATTTACCACTCATGATGAGAGCTGAGATTTATTTAGATCTCACAGTGAGTGTAGCCACCACCCAAAGCTTTGCATCTCTTAAATTAGTCCTCACAAGCACACCTGGAGGTAGGTACTGTTTTTCACCCCAGTCCACAAAGCAGCAAGCCAAGGTGCAGTAACCAAGATCACCTTGGTGGTAAAAGCTGGGGTTGGGTTTACAATGCTCCACCCAGGGAGACACTCCACTTACACCTGTTTTCACAGTTTTTTTTTTTTTTCTGTTTAAAAGTTCTCTTAAGGACTGAGGGCCTGACTGAAGTGGTAGAGCACTGCCCAGTAAGCATACGGCCCTGAGTTCAGTCCCCAAGACTGGCAAAATTCTCTTAATTGAGGTGTGACTTACACAAAAGTTCATAACTCTCAGTGTGTATGTTGATGAATTTTATATGCATCCACACCCACCACTACCCTCATCAATGTGAAATATTTTATCATCCCAGATGTCTCCTTTGGGTCCCACCCCAGTTAGTAAGTCCCATCCCCACTGATCACTTCTGTTCTGACATCCATTGCCAGATTTGTTTTTCTTGTTCATGGACGTGGAATGATACACAGTCTGCTTGAGTCTTTTTTTTTTAACCTAACAGAATGTTGGTGAGATTTATCTGTTTCCTTATTTATTCTTTTTAGTGCTCTGTAATATTCCATAGTCTGATTATAACCCAGCTTAAAAATTCGGTTCTTCTGTTTGTGCAGACGTTTGAGTTCTTTCCCACCTTTGCTGTTAAGAATAAAGCTGCGGTGAGTGGTCACAAGTCTGATTGTGGACACATGTATTCATCCTTCTTGGCTACAAACCCAGGAGTGGAAGTGCTGGTTCATCAGGAAGGCGTATCTTTAGCTTTATTAGATACTGGCAGGCTTCCAACATGGTTGAAGCAACTTATACTGCTGTCATCAATGAGTGAAAGTTTTATTTGGTTGATATCTTTGGAAACACATGGTTAACTTCATTCATTCATTCACTCATTCATACATTCGAGATGGGGGTCTCACTGTGTGCCTAGACTGGTATTGAACTCAGGGACTTAAGTGATCCACCTCAGCCTCCCAGAAAGCTGGGACTATGGCTATGCACCACCATACCCAGCTCAGTCAATTTAATTTTTTTGGAGGTACTAGGGTTTGAACTCAGGGCCTTGCACTTGCTAAGCAGGTGCTCTCCCACTTGAACCATACCCCAGTCATTTTTTTTTGCTGTAGTTATTTTTCAGATAGGGTCTCATGTTTTTGCTTGCAATGAGCTTTGGACCCTGATCCTCCTACCTATGCTTCCCATGTAGTTGGCATGACAGATGCACTCCACTACACCCAGTTTGTTGCTTGAGATAAGGTCTTGCTAACTTTTGCCAGGCTAGCCTTAAACCGCAGTCCTCCAGATCTCTGCCTCATAAGTAGCTGGGATTACAAGCACGAGCTGCTCTGCCCAACTTAGTCAATTTAATTTTTAACTATATTAGTGAGTGTGTAACAGTTGCTCATTTATTTTTTTTGACTCAGCCTTGAGCTTGCTAGGCAGGCACTTCACCACTTGAGCCACACCCCAGTCCCAGTTTCTGAGGTTTTCAGTTGCATTTTCTCCATGAGTAAGGACATGGTGGTAAGTGGTGGTAATAATTTCCTCCATCCCTCATTGTACATCTCTTTTTAATGTGACTTTGCTACTCCTCCAATCAGGAGGCAGAGTTTATGTCTACCTCTTGAAAATGAGCTTGATCATGTGACTTTCTTTGGCCAATGGAACATTGACAAGGATTGGCCAACAGGAAGGAAGCAGAGACTGAAACACTGCCCACGGGGTCAGTGGGTTGGACTTGAGACTTGAGTTTTTCTTCAGTATTTCAAGCTGGCCCCAGGCCAACCTCCTCTAGTAGGAGAGACCACACGGACAGAACCACGTCTTGAGGGACTCCAGATAATCTGGGCTTCCGTATTAGAGTGGCTGGCAACCCTGCCCTAATGGAAAATGAAGGAAGATGGGCAGTGAGTCGTTCATGGGACAGCCTAATGTGTCATTACCTGACCCGTGGCCAAGGGCGACTCACACTGGCAGATGCCCTTGTGGCTCTTATCTGACCTGTGTCCAGTGTGCACCTGAGTGAGCATTACTCACCACTGAGAACACAACCTTGTGTCACAGAGAAAACCCGGTCCAATGTAGCCCCCTTGGTTTTTCCAATGGGAGGTGCAAAGTCAGTATGGCACCACATTAGGAAGTAAGTTCAAATGTTTATACCTAGAGATCCTGGTTGGGGGGTGCACAATGAGCGGGCAGTCCTCTCTCCCTGGGTCACATGAGGCAGAAATGAAGAATCAGAAAAGGGAGAGGAAAAGAGGATGGGACGGGGGGATAGCTGGTTGCCTGCAGCCATCCAGACACAGGAAAATTAGTGTTTTTGATGATTATTCAGGTTTTTCTTGCTGCAAGTTTGCAGAAAGGTGTAGTAGGTTTCTACAGCTAAGGTGGAAGCCAGAAACAAGGTCCTTTATTTGCTAAATCACACTGGAATTGATTATTGGGCCTATCTTTCTATTTTTTGTAAGTTTTCTGAGATCAGAGAACACACTGAATTTGTTCAGTGACTTCCTGTAATCGTAACACAGTGCCAGGCAGAAGTTAAGCTTTCAACATACTTGTTAAGTGTGTATGAATTCATTATTGGAGCAAATGATCCCAGATGGGGCATGTGTGGTCTCCAAGTCCTTTGGGATCTAGGCA